AAACTCTACACTGTTCTAAGTGCATGTATTCCTTCATTCATCAAATAATTAGTGAGTACCTATCCTGTGACTTAGTGGCACCTAACAGAAAAAAGTCCCACAGAAACACCAAAACACCACAAACCCACAACCTTGTGCTGGATTTTGTGCTGGGTGTTGTGGATACAGCAGTGAGTACAACAGACAAAGCTCTTCCCCTCATAGAGCTTATATTTGCTAACATATTTAAGTTAATATCCATTACGGCAAAGGAGACTGAGTATGTGGAGGAAAAGGACTTGGGAATAAATAAAGGAAAAGAAGAGAGGGAGTTGTTATTGCATATGAGGGGATCAGGAGGGATTCACAGACAAGGTGACAGTGGAGCAGAGACCAGAGGAAAGAAGCAAGTGAGGGATAGGGGGGCCTTCTGGTCAGAGGGAGCAAAACTCGAAGGTCGGGCCTTGTTCTGGTTGTTTCAGGATGAGCAGGGACACCAGTGTGGCTGAAATGGAGCGAGCCAGTGGAAATGTAGGAGCAAAGTTCTGAAAGGCAGAGGGGGTGAGATCGTACAGAGCAACACTGGCTAATACAAATACAATATACACCACATACATAATTTTAAAATTTTCAGCAGTCATACTAACAAAGGAAAAAAGAAACAAGAGAAATAATTTTGATTGTACATTAGCTTAACCCAGCATAGTCCAAATAGTGTCACTTCAGCTTGGAATCATAGTTAAGAAATAGTTAACTAGATCTTTCACTTTCTTTTTCTTACTAAGTGTAAAAAAATCTGGTGTGGACTTTAAAAATATGTTGGGACTCTCATTTCATACTAGTCATGTTCAAGTTCAGTGGCCACAAGAACCAGCTGCTACTGTCATAGGTGGTGCAGATATAGAGACTTGCGGGCCATGCTAAGGACTTCTGTGTGAGATTAGGCAACCCTTGGAAGATTTGGAGCCCAGGAATGATCACTCTGCCTTTGATGTCAGAAGGTCCACTCCAGCTGCTATTTGATGTTGTGGGGCAGGGGAAGGGTGTGGGAGCAGAGTTAATAATAATTATGATGATTTAGGTGAGCAATAATGGCATCTTGGACCAAGGTAGGAGCAATGTTGATGGGGAGTAGTAGCTAGATTTTGGTTAAAATTTGAAGGTAGACTATCTAAGCTTCTTTGACACGATAAGTGAAGGGATGAGGAGTCAATGAACCACCACTTTGATTTTGGCCTAAACAACTAATAAGATGAAGGAAAGACCGTGACTGGGGTAGAGGACAGACTTAGAAGGGTGGTAGAGTTTGGTTTGGAATACGCTAATTTTGAGGGGCAGGTGTTAATATTTTAGATAGAATTGTTGGGTGGGTAGTTGAATAGATGCATGAGGAGTGGAGGAGAGAAAGGCCCAATCTGGAAACTTAGTGTGGGAGCCAATAGCATGGTGATGATGTTTAAGGCTGTACGACAGATGAGACCCGTGGGGTCTGGTTACTGAGAGAGAAGACGACTGAGCCCTCATGCCCTCCAGTGTTGGGAAGTTGGAGAGAGCAAAGCAGGCTCAGAAGGACAGCCATGGAGGCAGCAGGAAGAGCAAACAAGTGGAAATCAGCTGAGGAAAGTAGCTGAGGGCTGATGAGATGGTTTACTGTCCCAGATGCTGCTGCTGAGCTGAGTAAGATGAGGCCTGAAAGCTCTTGGCTTGATAAAAGGTTTTCTATGGATAAATTAAAACCACATCCACTGCCATGTAGTGAGATTGTGCTATGGAGGTGCTCCAATAGCTTCTGATGCTGTAGCTCTTAATAGGAGGCAATGACTACTTTTCTCCCACTGAATGGCTGGTAGATTAGAACTGCTGGTATTTTGGTTGGCAGCCCAACATGTAACCCTCTACCACCAGGGCTCCAGACAGAAGTTGAGTTGAGAGGATGAGAAGCAAGTAATAAGACTGGACTAGGGAGTTCTGGTGGCCTAGTGGCAAGAAGCTGCGCTGCTATGCCGAAGGTTTGTGGTTCAAATCTACCAGATGCTCTGCTGGAGAAGGAGGGGCAGTCTTCTACTGTGCCAGTCAGATCTGATTCGATGATACACAACAAGAAAAAAAAAAGAAGAAAACAGAACTGATAACTCAATAGAAGAGTCTTCTTTCAAAGTGTATCAGGTATGATGAGGGTGGCACAGGATAGGATAGGATTCAGGTATGCTCACTGGGTCACTATGAGTCATACTTGACTCAATGACACCTAATAATAACAACAACTTTAAAGGGGAGCAGAAAAATAAGGTATCATGTTGGGGAAGTATGATTACAAGGGAGTTCTTGTTTGATCCTCCCCCCACCCTGTTGTTATGTACCTCTGAATCGGATCCAACTGGCACAGGTGGAAATTGCCCCTCCTTCTATAGGGGAGCATCTGGTGGATTCGAACCACATGCCTTTGGGACTGCAGTGCAGCTTCTTTGCACTATACCACAAGAGCTCCCTTTTGATTTTTTGATTCTTTTTTTTTTAAATGATGAACAATGCAGTAGCCTATAAGATTGATCTAGTAGATAGAAAAAACTATGATGTGAATGAAAGAAGAGGATTATGAACTATTTCACTCAATCTCATAATCCTATAAGGGAGGCATGATGAATTTTATGAGCAAAGAACCTGAGAAATATTTCAGCAAGTTTCAACAAGTTCTCTCAGATCCCACAGCTAATTAGTAGGAGGCTCAAAACTGAAACCAAACAGTTCCATTGTAGAAGGCCCAGCCTTAATCATTCTGTGCACTGCCCCTTGGTTTCCTGGTTAGACTTGTGAGCTCTTTGAGAGTCAAATGTCCTCTTATATGTTTATATCCAATATAACACCTCCTAGAGGGCTGAGCAGAGGTGGGCTTGTTGCTGTTGTTCATTGCTGCTGAGTCTAAATCAACACAGCTGACCCTCCAAAGGATTTTCAGATGATATAAATGACATTGGAGGAGACTGCCCATTTTTCTCCTGTGGAGCAGCTGGCGTATTTGAACCGTGTGTCTTTGGGCTGGTAGCTCAACTCCTTACCAGCTAGGCCATCAGAGCTCCCTTAATAATAAGTGATCAGTGGATTAGGAACTGTTTGCCACATATACTCAGTTACTTGGCAGATGCCCCCAAATGGCTGCACCACTGCTGAGCGAGTTGAGCTTTTATTAGATTTGTTTTTCTAGTTTCTTGTCTTAATGAATAACTCTGGAGCAAACAGACCCTTCCCCTTACTGTTTTTAGCCATACTTCTAGAACTAGAGATAGATGAAGTATGTAATAATTTTCCTTTAGACTAAGCACTGTGTGACACTAATATTTTTCATCAGCATATGTGTGTGTAATTTTTAACCTAATAATATATCTGGGGGTTGTTTGGGTAGTTATGAAGGATATGAAATAGTGACTTTCCTCTCCTCAGTGGAATCTCTGTAGGTCTAGTCTGATGCTTCTGAACCTATACAGTGCTATTTCTCCCAGTCTGTAAGTTTTCCCCTGCTAATCAACAAACATTATTATCTTTTTTGTCTATTACTGAGTCAGTTTTTTAGACTTAGTGAAGTCTCTCAGTGAACACCAATTTTGAGGGGCTTTTCTTCTGGGTACCTAATCCTAACACTTGGGCTACCTGGTGGGAGTGACTCTGTGGCCTCTCCGTGCCACCATTCACAGAGGTTATTGTGAGGTGCTGTCGAATTATCCCTGACTTATAGTGAGAGACCCTGTGTATAAAAGGTCGAAGACACATTGCTTGATTCTGCACTCTCCTTAACATCTGCACTGTGCTTAAACCCACTGTTGCCGTCACTGTCTTGTCTTTTATCTTGAGAATCTTCCCACATGGAGGAGTAGTCAGTAAATAATGAAAAATCTTTGTTGGGTGGATGGGAAATGGATAAAGAGCTACAGCCATTGGTGGTCCTAGCTTTTAAGCTGATGGCTCTCCTTGCTACACTGTAGTGCTGTTCTGGGCTCGAGGTGATGGCTCAGGTCTGCTATTGGTGTTTTGGGTGACCTTTGGAAAGCGATTTGCCCACCTCTGGACAGAGTTTCCTTGTCTGCAAGATAACTCTCATTCTCATTGCAGTTGATTTGGAACTAATGCATAGCTGGCCCTCAAGAGGATTTCTGGGGTTGTAAATCACACAGGAGGAGATTGCCCATATTCCCCCCCCCCCATGAAGCTGCTATGGGTTGGGGGGCTGTCCTGGTGCTGTTCCCATCCATCCCTTGCCAGAACTTCTCATGAGGGCTGTGCAGGCTGAATCCCTCTCTCTCCCTTCTGCCTGTCACCAGGATGGCCAAGAGGTACACTAAAGGTGGGCATTGGCTGATGATGGTTCCAGTGCCGTGTGCTCCCTCTCAGAAAAGCTGAGCGGTGGAGATAGCTGTCACTGAAGGAACATGATTCCTGGGACTCCTGCTTGTTTAGTGACCAAAGGCAGGACCACAAAATTCAAAGGCCACGGAAGGGCCCCCGGACTCCCAGCCTCCTAGTTGGTTGGTTGGTTGGGGGCTGTTAGAATCTTGGCTGGGCCTCAGCCTTGCTGGAGTACTGCTGGGACTCCTCGTCCAGCATTTCCTTGTCAGTGTTCTTACACAGGGGCAGTAGCCACAGAGGGCACTTTTGGTGGCCTCAAAGGTGTAAATAAGATGGCTTTGATGCCGTTTGGCAAATTATATGCTGGGGCCAGGGATGCTCAAGACCCCATAATTAAGAGTTGGCTCACCCTCAGTGCCAGTGGGGCCCTCTTTGGAGAAGAGAGACATGACAATCTGCTTCTATAAAGATTTCCAGCCTTAAACCCCCTATGGGGTAGTTCTACTCAGTCCCCTAGAGTTTCTAGGAGTGAAAATTTGCCTTGACAGCATCTGAGGGTGTGTGTGTTTAGAACAAGGCCAAAGACTGTGCCTGAAAATGTGACGCTCGCCAGCATGTGGGCGGCTGTGTTCTCCCTTGTGTCTGTGCAGGCCTTTGAACTGCTCTCTTCTTTCCTCTTCCAGGGACAGGGGCAGACCCAGTGGTCAGCGCCAAGAGCAACCACTGCCTGGATGCTGCCAAGGCCTGCAACCTGAATGACAACTGCAAGAAGCTGCGCTCCTCCTACATCTCCATCTGCAACCGCGAGATCTCCGCCACGGAGCGCTGCAACCGCCGCAAGTGCCACAAAGCCCTGCGCCAGTTCTTTGACCGGGTGCCCAGCGAGTACACCTACCGCATGCTCTTCTGCTCCTGCCAAGACCAGGCGTGTGCCGAGCGCCGCCGGCAGACCATCTTGCCCAGCTGCTCCTACGAGGACAAAGAGAAGCCCAACTGCCTGGACCTTCGTAGCATGTGCAGGACTGACCACCTGTGCCGGTAAGAGCCCCTCCTCCCCCTCCAGCCACCATCAGTAGGCGGGGGCACTTGGTGTGTGAATAGTGTCTTCTTACATCTCAGCGTTCCTGATGGTTCAGTAGCTTGTGATCTTGACCAAAGCCAAACGAGTGTCAAAAAAAGTTAAAACTAACTTGGTTATGTACAAACCATATTGTCTGTTCTTTTAACAGATCCATCCATCCATCCATCTATCCATCCATCCATCCATTGTACATTGATGGTTTGCCTACTGTTGTGATCAGCTTCCTGCTAAGCACTAGGAAAGAAAAAAGATGGAAAACCCAAGCTTTTAATTTAAAATCAAAAGAGCAGTGGAAAAGGGATTTTCAGCCAACTTAGTCCCACTTCTAAAGGAATCCTTAGCTACTATTCCAACAGATGTCATGTGATTGTCATAGAAGGAGCTCATGGAAATCAGAGAGGCACCTCATTCTATAGTGAGAGCTGAGTCAGGCTCCTGTTGGGCTGAAGTGTGGGCTCTGGAAGCCGACAGTCTTGGGTTTTGAGTCCTGACTTAGTAGCTTTTTCATAGAAAAAGAAAAAGAAAAATTTTTGGGTTTTCTATCGTTTAACTTGTCAAATGAGAATAAAATAACTTGCCTCACAGGGTTATTGTGAGGAATACCAGAAAATTCATTGCCTTGTGGTCTGTTCCGACTCATACAAACTCTCTGTTGGGTTTCTGAGGTTGTGAATCTTTACAGGACTGTCTTTCTCTTGCAGAGCAGCTGGTAGATTGAAAACTACTGACCTTTCGGTTAGCAGTCTGATACATTCCAAACTACACAGCCAGGGCTCTTTATTGTGGGTGTCAGATTACACAGAATGTGTCCAAGGTGGAGTGTCTATCAAAGGCTTAATAAATTTAGTCTAAGTATTGGTAATGGTTTTTGTTTTTATTGTTGTTAAGTTTAAAAAAATGTTTTGATTGTGGTTAAGTGTCATCAAGTTGGAACAGACTTATAGCTGACTTTCCAGTGGGTTTTCAGAGGCAGAAATTGTACAAGAGTTTTTATTATAGTGAATTGAATTTAACATTATAATTTTCTTTCCCCCCCTTATATGTAAGTTATTCATTGAGCCCTTAATTTGCGTGATTCTCTGTTCTAGCCCTGAAAATGCTGAGGTGAACATAATAGTTTCTGAATATCATGAAACTGAATACTGCTTTCTTGCCAGCATTGGGTACTGGCATGGACTGAATAGTGCCTGTATAGGCAGAAGAAAATTGGGAAGAAAAAAAAATTCTATTTTAGATAATTGGCCAGTAGAATTGACAAGGCTGAATGGCTTTTAAAAAAGCTCCCTGAAGGCAGGACCACTTCTGTTTTGTTAACTCTGTATCCTAATGCTGCACATGAACAATATAAGATACAGTGGAAACTCTATAAATTTTGGTTGAGTGGAGAAGTTAATGGTGGCCTCCATGTTTCTTAGGTGAATAACTAAGGAGTGATATGGGGGTGGGCAGGTACTGGCCATACTACATTTGAGCAAGCGACTCGACTGCACATAACAACAACATGATATATCTCCAAGGCAAAGTCTGGTGACATTCAGACATGAGGATATGGAGTTCAGTAAAGAGGCTGGAATAGAGACACCTCATTGGTGATTATTAGCTACAAGACTGAATGAAATGATGTATGGTAGATTACTAGGGGCTATGAGTTACTTCCAGCTTATGACAGTCTTATGAATAACAGAAGGAAATGTAGCCGGGGCCTGCACCATCTTCATGATCATTGACATGTCTGAGTCCTTTGTTAAGGTTATTGTACAAGTCACTGAGATTTTCTATCATTTTCATGGACCCTTTCCTTTACCAACCAGAGTATACTTTTCTAGTGATTGCTCTTTTCCAATGAGGTGTCCAAAGTAAGTGAGATGAAGTCTTATAACCCTTCCTTCTGTGGAGCATTCTGGTTGCATTTTTTCTAAGACTGATTTGTTTTTTGGTTGTTCCCCCTCACCCCACTTCATAACCGTCCATCCAGTATTCATTATTCTTAACCAACAGCACAATTTGAATGCATTAATTCTTCTTCTGCCTTCTTTGTTCATTGTTCTGCTTCTGCATAAGTATGAGGTGATTGAAGAGATAATGGCTTGAGTCAGGCACACCTTAGACATTAAAGTACTATTTTTTCTTTTTAGAATTTAACAATATCTATTGTGGAAGATTTGCCCAATGTAATATGTTGTTTGTTTTCCTGACTGGATTTCAAGAGCATTGATTGTTGATCTATATGCAAAGAAATCCTTAACAGTTCCTCTCCTCCAAGATATTATTTATTGGGCCGGTCTTGAAGATTTTAACTTAGTACATATTACTGTAGAAAAGGAAATGAGATGGATTGGCGTAGTGAGAATAGGCTCAAGTGTATCAGAGATAATGAGAATGGCCCAGGTTAGGACCCAGCTCAGATTTGTTTTTCATAGGAGTTATATCTGACTGAGGGCATCTAACAACAGCAACAACATATCACTGTTTAAGAAGGACCAAATATAGTGTGGTCTCTAAGGGCCATGTGACCCAGAATGAGATAAGCGAGTTTAGAAAAGGTGGACTTGGTGGCTTAGAGAATATTCAACGAACCAGAGACATTTTTACTTTCCCCCCAACCTACTTATGGTAGAGGCTCGAACAGAAGAGTTGACTGATAAACTTTAAATCATGGAACCAGACAAAGTGTTTAAAGAAGTGAAAGTATTAGGAAGGACTGAGGAATCTCATGATCAAAGTGTTGATAGTTTCCAGGAGGTATGAGTCAAGATGGAGGGCTTCAGGCTTTGGGATATAAATTTAAACAATAGCCCCTTTGGGACCTGTGAAAAATATGTTTCCTAAATTATTTAACTTTATGAGGTTTGGGGTCATGAGTGGGAAATTCCAGTTGCTCCAGGGTGTGTCTGTGTGAACTCCTTTTCTAGAACCAGGATATTCCTCCAGTTCCACCTCCTCTTAACCCCCATGCCAGTCAACACAGTCAGGTTTAAAGTATGATTCTAGATATGGGAGGAAAAGAATAACAACTGAACCTAGGTCTAGAATGAGTATGGTAGGTGTGTGAGGAGTATTGAAGCATGGTTAAATGTCCTTTAGTGAATATTGCCTGTTACTCAGAGTTGAGGAACCTCTGGGTGAGTTTGAACTGAAAACGTTGCAGTTAGTAGTGGAGTAGTTAACCAATTATACTACACAGGTATGTTGTTGTTGTTATGTGCCATTGAATAGCTTGCAACTCATAGCAACCCTATGTACAAGAGCTCTAGACTCGTTCTATTCTGTGCCATCTAGCCATCTCAAATGCACTGATTCCCACCACTCCAGTCACAGAATCGATCCACCTCATCGAAAGTATAGATCACAATAAATTGTGACTAACATTGAGAAGAATGGGAGTCCCAGAACACTTCCTGTGAAACTCATCTTTAGACCAGAACAGGGCAAGGAGACATTGCATGGTTCAAAATCAAAAAAGGAGTGCATCAGGGATGCATCCTTTCTCCATACCTTTTCAATATTTATGTGGGTCAGATCATTCAGGAGGCTGGACTTTATGAGGAGGAATGTAGTATCAGGATTGAAGAAAAACTCATCAAGAAATTGTGTTAATATAAGACGATACAACCTTGCTTGCTTAAACTGAGGAGGGCCTGAAGCATTTGCTGCAGAAGATCTTTAATGTGGATTGAATCTCAATATCAAGGAAGCAAAATATTCTTACCACAGAGCCAATTGGCAGCATCATGATAAATAGAGAAGAGACTGAGATTGTTGCAATTGGTAGGTTCCACAATCAACACTCTTGGAACTAGCAGTCAGGAAAGAAAAAGATGGGTTGCATTGGGAAAGTCTGCTGTCAGGGACCCCTCTCGAGTTCTGAAGAGCAACAGTGTCAGTCTGGAGACTAAGGTTTTACCTGACACAGGCCGTGGTCTTTGCATTTACTTGCTATGCATTAGAGAGCTGAACTATGACTAAGAATGATAGAAGAATTGATGTGTTTGAGTTGTTGTGCTGGAGGAGTATTGAATATACCATGGACTGCCAAGAGAACAAAAGATCTGTCTTTGAGAGGGTGAAGACGGGTTGCTCCTTGGAAGCAAGGATTTTGAAACTCTGTTTCACGTACTTTGAGTATGTTGCCAGGAAGGACCAATCCTTGGAGAAAGATGGTCATCATGCTTGAAAGGGTAGAGGGTCAGCACAGAAGAGGAACAGATGTGATGAATTGATACAGTGATTGGAGTAATGGGGACAGGTCTTTTGGAGTCAGTGAGACTGGCTCAGGACAGGGCAGGGTTCAGAGCTATTGTTATAGGGTTGTTATGAGTCACAGTTGACTTGACAACACATAACAACAACAAAAACGACAGAATTGAGTTTTGGGATAGGTTGAGAGATGTGGGGCAAACAGAGATGACAGGTGGTCAGTGGAGGTGGTTGCTGTAGTGGCCTCAGTCTTTTGCCCTTGCTCAGCTCCTGGTTTTCCAAATAGTTACAGATTGGTCAGTTTAGGTGTCTTTGGCTCTTCCTTTGATGGAAGATGTTTAACAATTTAGTTTCCAGGGCTTCATTCTGTTGTAAGGTTCCTATTCTTTTGAAGCAACTCCCCCCCTCTACCTACTTCTCTTGCTCTCATCTTTTTTCTACTTGAGATTATACTACTGGAAAGATGAACTCTGCTATAAGAAGAAATGACCAGAGAGGACTGTTGGGGTAGACTGTATGGGATGGTGTGTTTAAACGGCCTTTTCCCTGCTCAGCCTCTTCCATGGAGCAGCTTGGAAGGAGAGTGTCTTTCCACACTTTTGCAGAACAACTTTTCGACCTGTGTACTTTTTTCCCAGCATACACAGTGGAGCTCTGGTGGCACTGAGCCCTCACTGTCGTACCCGGAGGCTGACAGCCGGCTTGGTGGGGGGCCATCTGGAGAGTAGAAGCCTATGCTCTGGGAAGTGGCTCTGTTCCT